ATTATTTTATATGTTATTAGATTAGTTATTATGTTATTACTTTATAATTATAAATCATATATTAATTATAAATTCTATATTATATTATATATAATTATAAAGTAATAACAGAATAACTAATATAGTATTTTATTATATAAAATGATAACTAATATAATATTTTATTATATTTTATTATTTAATTATATTATTATTTTATAATTATACTATTTATTATAATATATTATTTATTATATTATTACTTCTATATTATTTTATATATTATTATATTATTTATTATATTATTTTGTAATTAAATTATTTTATAATTGTACTATTTATTATAATCTATTATTTATTATATTATTATTTCTATATTATTTTATATATTATTCTATTATTTATTATATTATTTTACAATTAATTTATATTTATAGTATTTATTATAATCTATTATTTATTATATTATTACTTCTATATTATCTTATATATTATTATATTATTTATTATATTATTTTATAATTATACTATTTATTATAATCTATTATTTATTATATTGTTATTTCTATATTATTTTATACATTATTATTTTGATTCTTTTACTCAGTACCAGATCCTAACAGAAACACTCCATTCCATTGCCTATAAAACCACATCAGAGGGCTTGCACTCATCAGTCCTCCCAACAGTATAAACTAGGAACAAATAAAAAGAGAAATGATTAAAACAAAAAAGCCCTGAGCCCGATGTTCACGAAGACAAGAATTTCCATGCCAAAATGGTTATTTCATTTCATCCTCCCCTGGTGACTGTAAAGTCACATGCTGAAAAAAGCCCTGGGCACCTCCAAGTTTGTTCTCTTTTTTCTATCCTTCTAATTTAGTTTGAAGTCCAGTTTCTGTACCTAGAACAATATTAGAGAATATCTATTGAAACTGTTTCAATTTCAAGGGCTGGTTTTCAGGAATTCTTGCTTTCCTATGTGCCTGATGAAGTGCTCCACTTCTGTAGCTGAAAACCAGGCTGCAGGAGGTCTATCTGATGAAGATACGTATAAAACTAAGAACATATAAAACTAAGAAACAGTAAAATTATAGTTAGGAAAACTGAAAGAAACAACATCTGTCCATTGAACTGCAACAGCAGTGAGGTCAGGCAGAGGGCTGGGTTTAAGAGACTGTCACTAGAACATGCCAAAATGGTTATTTCATTTCATCCTCCCCTGGTGACTGTAAAGTCACATGCTGAAAAAAGCCCTGGGCACCTCCAAGTTTGTTCTCTTTTTTCTATCCTTCTAATTTAGTTTGAAGTCCAGTTTCTGTACCTAGAACAATATTAGAGAATATCTATTGAAACTGTTTCAATTTCAAGGGCTGGTTTTCAGGAATTCTTGCTTTCCTATGCGCCTGATGAAGTGCTCCACTTCTGTAGCTGAAAACCAGGCTGCAGGAGGTCTATCTGATGAAGATACGTATAAAACTAAGAACTCAACTACATATAAAACTAAGAAACAGTAAAATTATAGTTAGGAAAACGGAAAGAAACAACATCTGTCCGTTGAACTGCAACAGCAGTGAGGTCAGGCAGAGGGCTGCGTTTAAGAGACTCACTAGAAAAGGAAACGCCAATGTAAGAAATTCCCTTGAATACTGACATTTCAGTACGTTCTTTTATGCAGAGATGGGCCACAAAACACCAAGTGAAACAGTTTCAGCTTTCCCCTGAAACTGTTGAGTTCTCAGCTTTCCCCTGAAACGACGCCAATGTAAGAAATTCCCTTGAATACTGACATTTCAGTACGTTCTTTTATGCAGAGATGGGCCACAAAACACCAAGTGAAACAGTTTCAGCTTTCCCTCTGCCCTGAGAACAGCTGGAATGGTTTCAGCAGCGTGTGCTGTTTCATACCTGGCTGAGGGCGAGGATGTCGGAACTTTCAGCAGGCTCCGCTCTCCCGGGAGGCTTCTCCTCACAGGCCGGCTCTAAAAACTGAATGAAAAAGCAGCATAAAGGCGCAGCACCGGGCTGACCATTTTAAAAAGTGCCCTTGCAGTGCCATTTCCCGAGTGATCCTCAGCACACCGGGCTGCACACAAACCCCGCTCGGGGCGAGCACAACGCCCGCACCCAGCGCGGAGCCCAGCAGGGCCGCGGAGGAGGCGGCGGCGAGCCCGGGGCTGCATCGGAAAGGGGCTGAGGGCGAGGGCTGAGGGTGACGGCGATGGCCGAGGGTTCAATGAGATGGCTGAGGGCTCAGTGTGATGGCTGAGGGCGTAGGGCGATGGCTGAGGGTTCAATGAGATGGCTCAGGGCTCAATGTGAGGGCTGAGAGCGGAGGACCCCGCTGCCAGGGCTCGGTCCCACCTGCCAGAAGGGCGCTGCCGATGGATCCCCGCCCGCCGGGGCCGCTGCCGGAGGCTGAGGGGCGGCCGCCGCCCGCCGCGGAGCGTTGTCCAGGCTGGAGAAGGGGTTGCGGCGCCGGGCGGCCGCAGAGCCCCGCGGGGCCGGGGCAGCGGCGGCTTCCGCGGCAGCGGCGGGGTCGCTCCTCCGCGCGGGGCGTTTGCGCTTCAGTCGCAGCAGCGCCGGCGGCTTCTTGAAGCCGGGTGAGTGCCCGGGCTCGGCAGGGGCGGCCATGGCCGAGCGGGGCCCGGAGAAGCCGCGCTCCCGTCTTGGCGCCAAAGAGCGGCCGCTCCGCCCCGGGGCGGCGCTGAGGGAGCGGCGCCGCCATTGCTGCCGCCCTCAGGGGCTCTGAGGGGAGCGCGGCTCCCGCCAGCCCCGCTCCGCCCGCACGGGCTACACCAACATGGAGCACAAAGACAGACGGCGGTGAAATTGTGTCCGTGCCCTTCCAAATGCACCCGGACTGCGGGCTGAAGTGCTGGGCTGCGAGAATATCACCCTTGGGCCCAGTTGTGTGAGATGTGACACTAAACCCTCAGGCGTTCGTCTATTTGCAATAAAAGAACGAGGGCTTTAGTCTCCTTGGGATAGAAAACTACTTTGGATTGCACTACTCTGTTGTACACTGGGCTTAAAAGGCATCAGAAATACTACGATGATATCCTTCAAAATCCATGGAGGTCAAAAGTCTCAAAGAGGTAGTCAGCAACATCTCTACTGTCACAAGGAAATCTATGCTATAAACAATTTGCACAGTTCTGTCA